TTCCTGCTGGTGTGTCTAATCCCCTATCTTACCATGGTAATGGTCAAGTGGCAGTCCCAGGAACATGAGTGAAATCCTCAAGGAGCTGTTCGTGAAGTAATTTGCTTGCAGGGAAAGATTTTTCTTGAACCTGAATCACTGGCGAATCAGAGGATGGCTTATTCTACCAAAGCATGAGGGTTTCTGTTTCTTTTTAATCTCTGCTTCTACAATTGGTTATCCACTTAAAACTATCAAATAAACCACTTGCCTGCTCTGAAGGTGAGATTCCTTCCTAAATATATGTTATTATAGAAACTTTCCTTCTCCAGCAAGTGCTTTGTCAAACAAACTGTACATTGACAATCTCATACATGATAGAGATCCTTTCCCAAGTTCCCTCTCTAGGCATTTCTTTGAGAATGCCTGTTTTCCAAACTGTTTGGGTTTTTTTTGTGGAGTTATTTCCTATGAAGAATTTCTCTTTGTCAATAGGATATTCTAGCCTGGTTTTGGATTCCACCGGTGCTAACCTGTTTGCTAACTGCACTGATGACAGTATCTACATGTTCAATATGACAAGTTTAAGGACCACTCCAGGTAAGCATGATATCTGTGAAAATAGCTGTGAAAAACAGATGTTACAGAGTGTAGAAAGAGTTTCTCCCTATGACATAGAGACAGAGAGCAGATTGAACACTTAGAAAACCTATTCCATGCTCTTCTGTCTAAAGTTACTTTTTCCAAGGACTGTTCATATTTTGTGATAAGCTATCTATATAAAATTAATAGGACAAAAATTTACATAAGTGCAGATGCTGCTTCACCCCGACAGAGGCTAGTGGTAACTTGCATGTTGACACTAGTTACCTGGTGAGGAATGGCTAGTGTCCAGCTGCTACCCACCTGAGGCAAGTTTGAATCTTCTACTTACTGGCAGTCACTGATTTCTCAAACTCTTAGGTATGAATCCATGTCGAGTGATTACCTGATATGTTGTATTCAGGTATTTGAAGGTGTCTTTTAAGTTTAGCTTCTACCACAGTCTCTGGGAGAAGGTGTTTTGTGGAGATGCTTCAGCTTTTCAGATTCCTTCGGTTCTGCATCTGTGACCTTTACATTGGCAAGATTGTCCCACAGCCCTTGGTGCACTGAGCAGCTCTGTCACAGGCCAGTGGCTGCTTCTCAGAAAGCAGCAAGTCTTGTTAGATGCATTCCAGCCAGACACATGACTTGTTTCTATTGCCTTTTCTCAGCCTCTCAGTTAATTGAAATTAAGTGAACAATGCGTCCCTGTTTCTGCTCCTCAGGAAGGCAGTCTGGTGGGTGGGAATGCTTCCAGAGCACAGAAGTGCTGCAAGTAGTAAATATTACTAGCTCAGTTGGTGAGGTTAACCCCGGTGCCACCACCAAGTTGTGGAAATACACTCACTGGCCTGTCCCTCCAAAGCACAGCACATCCCACCCTCAGCCTCCTCATGGAGTTCGATCCTTCTGTGTGCAGCTGATAAAGGCCAGCAAGCAACCTGGATTCATCCAGCCAGATAAAACATGTGCTGCTGCTCCCGCAGAGGGCAGCGCCTGCCTGCAGGATGCTGCCTCTCTCCTCACGCAGCAGCTTCTATCCAGGTTGTGGCTGCTTCTATGTAGTACTGAGGTGGTTTCAGTTTGCAGGAGGACGTGAGGAAATCCTCACTGTAACAGGACTTGCTGGTTGGTGTAGCTTAGGAAGGGACCTGCTGTCTGGTAACCGCTGCTCTGGGTAAAAACTGAGGGATATTTTGAAGTGCTGCAACTTTTCAATGTGTGCCAAAGGCAGCTGCACGTCTGCTGTCTGCGGGTTGCCTTCTCTACCAAAATCACTATTAAAACAGGGCTGGTAGAGGGTACTAAGTTGGGAAACTCAGCCATTCTGCCCTGCTGAGAGGATGGGACATGGTGCAACCAAGTGCTCTAGTTCTACACTCAGCTGTTGTGCTGGCTGCCAGCTATTTTGGCCCTCGCAGTAGAGGGAATGGCAACCACTCAGGTGGTGGTTTCAAGGCTTTAGCAAACACTACTGAGGCTTTAAATACAGACAGCGTGGCTGACACGATGTAAGTCTTGATGAAATAAGGATGTTGGCAGCAGGACAAAGGAGCAGTAAAGGTTTATGTTGCTACCTGGGTGGAAGAAGGCCCTTGATATGTGTTCTCTGCAACTGCTCTTGTTAATATAGCAGGGCTGGTGATGGTGGCTGAGGGAGGAAGAGACAAGGAACCTTAACTGGAGTAGTGGGACAGCCCAGGTGTCAGCCTTCCTGTGATATGGGTCAAGCTATAGCTTTAATGAAGCTGCCACTGATCCCTAATGATGTGGAGAGAGTTGTTGCTTCATTTGGAAAGCCTGAAGGGCTTTCATTGAATAATAAAAGCCAGAGCCCCAGAGCAAGGGAGCAGTGCAACCACTTTCTCCAGAGGATATGTGGCTAGGCAGGAAAAGCCTGTAAGATCACCCCTCCTTGCGCAACTGACTCCATGGCTGTGCATCAAGTACAGCTTTTATTTACTGGGTCTTTCCCTTTTCTCTTCACAGTGGCAGTTTTCAGCGGGCACCAGAATTCAACCTTTTACATCAAATCCAGCACCAGCCCAGATGACCAGTTCCTGGTCAGTGGTTCGAGTGACTGCAATGCATACATCTGGAAGGTAAGGTGGTTGGGAGAGACCCAACCCTGCAACCCAGAGCTGCTCTGCTCTTCCATTTCATTTACTTTTCATGTACATGTAGGACACTCCCTGCTTCCCACTCCTCCTCAAAGCAGCATGGATTTAGCTCCTGGCATGTTGTATCCAGAGTGTGTTTGTTGCTGTCAAGGCTGGACGTAATTGTTTAATGTAAAACAGAGCTAACCTCCTGCCATCAATACATCTCTCGTCACTGCTGCTTGCTGCAAGTTGCTGATCTTAATCTGGTTTTAATGGGTATTAAAATCCTCTTTAATCCTGGTGATTCAGTCAGCTGTGACAAGTAGACGGACAGCTCTTGGTTCATATTCAGCAATATTAGCCGAAATCTAACAATTTCATTGTTTCAAAGGGCACCCTTTGCCCCCACTTCGCCGTTTCCAGGGTCTTGCTTCAGACATAGCTTTTCCTCATGCTTAATTTACAGTGGGTAAAGCCTTTGTATTACAGCAAGGGCTCAGCCATAGCCTTCAGCAAAACTCGAAAGCACCATCTGACAGCCGAAAGGCTTCGCCATTTGGCATCTTGCAGTGACATGTAGGAAATGCAAATGTCACCAAGTTAAGAGCAGGGACCTTGGAATAAGGCATGCTTCAAGTTCTGTTCCCCATATGGGAGCAGAATAGACTTCTTACTGAAGTAGAGTAGACAGCAACCACAGGTGACTGCCTGTTTCAGGTTTGGGGGGATTTTTAGGGAATGCTGAGTTGTTTACCCTTTTTGAGATGAGTTTGAAAGGAAAATACAAACCTTTCAGAGCAGAGGGTCAGCATACTGAGCTTGTGGTTTGAGCATGTAGTCTCTTTGATTTGGAGAACACTTGTAAGCAGCTAGGTTGCTTACTCGGTGGCAGCAGGAGTGCCATAGCATGGCTACTCCCATGCCAATTGGTGTAATTCTAACCTTCTTCATGTTCTGTGTGAGTTCAGCAAAAATACCTGTGCAAACTTGAGTTGCACATTCTGCATCTGTGTCTTCTGATACTTTCTTGGAACACTGGCTGGGACTGGGTTGAAAGCATTCATACATGTCATTACATCTCAAAGCTTAAGCGTTTAAGCATATTGAGAATGCATTCTTGTACAGAAGGCTTCTGTTGCTATCACATATGAGTGACAGATCATATTGCATATTTGCTAAATCATCAGATAATTACTTTTATTTTAATCCTATAGTCATGTTTGAAAGTGGGATTTGGAGCAAAACCGTATCTTTTGAGATCTGTCATATCCAGAGGCTTCTTAATTTGTTTAAATGTTGGCAGATCTAACTGACTCTGAAACATATGTGTCTTTTCCTGGCATGAGGACTTCTTATGCTGTGAAAAAACCATGGTTAGATATTGCATGAGCAATTAACGGCTAACATTGCAAAGAACCTAATGAAGAGCGTGAGCTTTCCATATAGAGAAAAGAATGAAAGCCAGAGGAAGACTTTGTTGAGGAATGAAACACAGTATTTCTTTGAGAGATTTTTGCAGCAGTGTAAGTTGTGTTTGGGTCAGCATTCCCAAGAACACTGTGGCTAGAAGTTATTGCTGACGAGGATGCTGTTTCAGTCTTTTTCCATATATAAATCACTTCCAGGCAGTGAACACTTGCTTTATTGTGTTGTTTGTTTGGGTTTTTTTAATTAGTAGCCTGTTGATTAATGAACTGACTCTTGAAGAACACAAAGATTATAAAAGCCAGAGAGCAGAGAGGTTTCTCTGCACAAAAATGGTACCTGAGATAGATACCTGCTGGTAATAAAATTATCCTATGTAGACGTATACTTCCATTGTCCTTTGAAACCTTTGGTACGGACCACTTTGAGGTGGCCATATTAAGTTACCCTAAGGTCTCTCCAAGCAGTGGAATTTTAAGTGCTTCTGTATCTTGTGGTACTTTAAGCTGTACATGTACTATTCTATGCTGCATCTTGAAGATGGATACAATATCTGTTTCAGTGAGTGGAGTAAGTAATAAAGTCTCATTTCCTAGTCTTCTCTTCTTACCCGTTCCACAATAGCTCTAACTTCCCCACAAATATCCTGTCGAATCAGGCAAAACCCAGCATGTGCTGTGGCTAATCCTGACTTAATATGCACAGACTGACCTACTGTCTTCTGCCAAACACAGTGGACACAGCTGTAACTATACACGTTCCTTTAGTCCGCAATAAGATCAGTCTGGTGTAGCTGATTTGATTCACACCAGTATAGTGGAAAACCAGTGTGTCCCAGCAAGAGTAATTCTCTTCCTCTGCTTTCCTTTTAGCAATCAGTTACTGCTGATTAGACACTAACTATTGTGTCTGTTATGTGTGCAGAGTAAGAAAGATTGCTATTAAAAGTAAACAAAGGTGTTCTCTGCACCAAGATCTTCTGTTGTTTATTCCCACAATAGGGATTTAGTTTCCATGGTGTTGCATGTTTTGGCAGAGAAGGGAATATTCTGACCAAGGCATTTAGTGGATATTTAGTCAAGTGATTGCCTCTGCTATGCCAGTTAAAAAAAATGCTGCCTGTTAAGATGAACCTGTTTGTATCAGAACAACTTTAAGATCTGAAGCTGGATATTCAGTTGTGGGTTTACAGGCTGTTGTAGGAGGTGATCAACAAGAGCAAAACTTGAGCGTAAATCAGAAGTCTTGCGTCTTCCTTTGAAATCAATACATAATGTCTACTCCTTTGCCCACACAGTAAAGGATCTGTTCATTCACTTAGTCATTTATGCAAATCCCCTTAATAAATCCCCCTTATGAATGTCACATTGATACCAGTGACTCATAGCTCCAGAGAGGATTGCCTGCTGAAAACATCACTGTCTCTGTGTGTGTGTATGGATGTGTGCTTTCTTCCTTGGGCCACTTAATGCTAGCTTCAGCTATATCTATCACTTAGAATGACCTGTAATCAAGGATTCATAGTAATACTTTGATTACCATGTATTTTTATGAACTCTTAAGAGTGTCTCTGGTCCAGGTTGGTTGGAGGAGCCACAGGCACTTGGCAGTCACACAAATGCCAGTTCTGAAGCCGGTGAAGGTTCATCTATAGGATTTTTTTGGTGGCAGTTTTATTCTTTTAATGAACCATTGACTTGTTATTGGGGCATTTGTAAAAAAGCAGCAGAATATATTTGGCTATCCTCATGCAAAGTATGAGCCTCCCGAACTTTTAAGCATCTTACCTAGAACAGGTAGAGGTACTTAGAGTAAAGTGCTTGTGTTATGTTCTGGGGTGACAACTCTGCAGGCAGAAATCCGGTGTGTAGCAGGAATTGAACAAGTGTTTCCAGGCAAGTCAGTACATCTCAGTGCTGACCAGCTGCTTCCCCTCTAGAAATGAAACATGAACTAGTTGTTGCCTCACGATGAGAGGCTGAGAGCATCTGATTTATCTGTCTCATATAGGAAAGATGGGAAGCATTCGTATGCTGAGGGGTCTTTTAGTGATATGTATCAGACTGCAGGGCTTCTGACTGTAATATTTGTTTTTCTGTGGAACTTCTAAGGTTTCTGAGCCCAGCCTTCCTCCACGGATACTCCTTGGTCACTCTCAGGAAGTTACCTCCATTGCTTGGTGTCCTTCAGACTTCACTAAGGTTTGTTTTCTGGAACACTGTCTTTACCATGAAACAATAGATGTGGTGTGGGGACTTCCAAAAATGTTCATCTGGGGGGGGCAGTAAACCGAGCTTGTCACATGAGTGCAACTTATCAGAACATTTAAATTGCTTTAAAATCATTTAGGCTATTTGATAAGTACTAGGAAGTTGCAAATGAACAAAGACCTCTCCTGCTCAAAAACCATGTAGATGAGGCCCCAAGTGACATGGTTTAGTGGTGGCCCTGGCAGTGCTGGGGAATGGTTGGACTCAATGATCTTAAAGGTCTTTTCCAACCAAGTTGATTCTATAATTCTGTGATGAGATCTTGTGGCACCTATAAGAGACAAAACTGTGAAGCCACTTAATCAGGACTTCCATAAGCCAAAAGCTTGTTTTGTAGTTCCATATTTACAGCTTCCTTACCTGTCAGACCATTCCACAGATCCTTTTGGAGCGCGCGATGCTGCTCCATGTGGGAATCTAGACCAGTGTGTCTGACAGAGTTGGTTTCTCTGCTAGACACTGCTGACATCTGGCTCTGAAGAGATAGTGCTTAAGTCCAACAGTGTTCCAATGTCACTTTGGAATGATAGAATAGTTAGGGTTGGAAGGGACCTTAAGATCATCTGGTTCCAACCCCCTGCCTTGGGCAGGGATGCCTCACACTAGACCCTGTTGCCCAAGGCTCTGTCCAACCTGGTCTTCTCGGTGTGTTGCAAACGTTTGTCCCCAAGCAGAAAAGGCCCTGAGTAACAGAGACAGACTTACATGCAGGTGCAAAGAGCAGCGTGGCTGCTTTTGTCTACTGAGTGACTGAGATCTCAAAACGTGTGCTGGCCCTTCCTGAGCAGACTGTCATCTATCACAGAGCTACACGAGGCAAGCGGATCTTGGTGACTGAGATTTCTCTAGCAGAAAAGACATGCAGGCAGCCTCCTTTGCCTTCTTTAAAGCAAATACTGCTGTTATAGTAATGAAACAGAGTTGGGTTGTTTTGTTTGGTTTATGGGCAAATCTTTCACCCCCTCAACCAGGCTTCACCCTCATTCGTATTGGTATGGTGTGTCGGGTGCAGCTGTTCTAGTTCACTAGGCTGGTGATCCATAGGACATGCCCTGGTTACTCCAACAAAATGATTTATACTGTAGGTTGCCACGTGCTCTGATGACAACACTGTGAGGATATGGCGCTTACGACATTGTCCTGAAGAGGAGAAATCAGCATCCAGCAAAATCAGCTTGGTGGGCTGGGTCACTCAGAAGAAACCACAGCAGCATCGAGCAGGTAAGACCCCTAAGCTGAGATATCCAGCTCTGCAACCTGGCTTCTGAAGCTTGGCTGTTCTCTGTACCAACAAAAGCTTTTGGCTTGTCTTATTAGTTTTCTATTTTTTTCATATAGCCAGACAAACACTTCTATTTGTGATTACTTCTGCCACCAACAAGACAAGCAGGCTGAAATAGCTGACAAGTACGCTGAAGTACGACCAGACTGCAAAGCAAATATTCATTGATACAGCTTGTTGGGCAGCCAGATTTTTAGTGGGAATAAGCAAGTTTTAGTAACTGAACAGCCAAAGGAGATGTCGTCATGTGTGCTATTTCATGTGTGCATCTCACTTTTTTATATCAAATAATGACTGAAAGCAGCAAGATCATATGCTTTTTCCTGTTTGCTAGTTAACCCAGTAAAGGGCTGACAGCACATACGCAGCCTTGAACTATTTCCTCCTGCCCAGTAGTTGTGTTACTGGGCACAGTTGGGGAAAGTCAGTTGGGGAAACTCTCTAAGACTCAACATGGAGTTTCAGAAAGCAGCGTTCTTTATTGCAACGCTGGGCGCACCCATTGCTTGCCAGCAGCAGCTCTATGTTTAGCATACTCATGCATATTCATAGCCTTTCCAAGAACCTATTTACATATTCATGAGATTTCCAGGAACTCATTGTAATATTTCCATCCTAATTACTCATGCACTCTCTTGCTGAGTTGGGGTCTCTGGTGGTTGCTGATAGTCTTCCTCACTGTGTTTACTGAATGGCCTCAGTGCTTGCACACGCTTGCAAGGTCCTAGTGCTGAGTTAGCAGCTGGGATATCCTTGCTTCTGTTCTGTTCCAGTCTCACTCCATGTTGGGCACCACTCTGCTGTCTTGAAGACTGGCATCCTTGGTCTTATTTACTGTCTCCCTAGTTGTTATCAGTTCCATGATGTTCCTTCCGCCATCAGCCAAACATTCCTTTCTCTCTATGTGTTAGTAAGTTAGAACAGTTTGGTCTATTCTGCGACGTTAAAGGCTCACACATTATTGTTAGTTTAAAATTTAAGCTTGCAGTTGAATTCTACACAGATTTCTTTGCTGCTGCTATCAGTATTACTGCTTTTCCTCGGCTTCATACAGTGGTACTGTCTATGCAGACAAATGCCAAGTAGTGAAAGTACTTCCAAAATATATGTAGACAATCATTATGTGATTGTAATGTTGCAGAATCAGTAGCATTAATCTATTCACATGTTAAGGCTAATTAACAAATTTCTAGGTGGTCAGACAAGCTATACAGCATGATCTCACAGCTCACCACAACTACTCACTGGACAGTACTATAGACAGGAAGAAAGAAGCCCTGGATCGTAACACTACTTTAACTTGTTTGAAACTTATGTTTTGTTATAGTAGAGTAGGTGAAAGGTGAATAACACCCCCCCAGAAAGTGAAATAAGATGAACTCTGTAGAGTAGCTCTGAAGCTAAGAATACAATAGCTTCCCAGCAGCTGCTGGTGTGACTTCCTGTGTTCCACCTATCTTTTCTAGCCACCTTTCAAATGAATTTCACCTTGGCTAATACAAATAAAGGCGGAAGGTCTCCAAATCCTCCTAATGGGATAACATTACCTCTAGGATAACATTACCTCTAACCTTTTGCCAGTGAGTAACAGTCTTGCAGGAAGTTTGCAGGACAATAGCAGGGTGAGTGCCAGGTCTACTCTGTAGCTAGTAAATGCATACACTGCTTCAGAGAGGGCTTAAAATTCACTTTGTGTACTAGTTTCAGCAGAAGAGCAGTAAGCACAGGTCTAGTCCAGAATCCTGAAACCTGAAGCAGCTTGCACACTGAAACCTCACAAGTCAGCTTTGGCAATTATACCAGAAAAATCATTTATTTCTCCTTGCCCTTTCTGCATTGAAGTAACACGGGAGGAAAGAGGAAGTACACAGACACTGCAAACACAACAGCAGGCTTCCTGCTGACCTTGGGTCTTGCACACAAAGCACATGCTGGTAGAATGTAGGAGTTATCTGCAGAGACTGATTCAGAGCTAACGAGCAAAGTACTATTTCAGACCTGCTGGGATGAGAGCTGGGTAGTTCCCCACCCATTTCTGTGGAACAAATGCTGAGACTGAGGTTGTGTATTGACTGTTGACCTATATCGTCAGGTGTAGCAAGCACAATTTCCTTTCCTATAGAAATTATTTTTGTAGTTTCCCACTTTCTCCATTTTTTTTGTGTAATGAAATTTCTGGAGCAGGGCTGTGCATGGACGGTTTGTGACTCTTCAGTCTGGAGATTGATAATATCACTTTAAAAGATTCGTAGCAGAGAAGGCAGGAAACTACTGAAATAACCTGCTTTGGTGTTATGCAGGTTGACTGCAGGTATTTACAGTACTGTATGACATGCAATGGCAGCATAAAAGGCAACAGCTGGGAAATGGCCCAGTAGAAGCCTGAATAATGCATGCAGTCTTAAAAAGAAGTCTGATCTTCATATTCTTTATCTCAAGGTTGGGGATGTTTCTCAAGTTTGGGTTTGCTTCTTGCTGTAACACCCATGCAGCTCTCAGAAGAGCTTTGTTTTCCCCTATCCAGTGTCTCCACAGTATACCTTTCAGACTCTTCTGGTATCAGGAGTGCTTATAGCAAGCTAGTCATACAATGTTTCTGGTGTATGAATTTGTAAATGATCAGTAAGGGACCAAGAGTTGCTGAGCTTGCTACTTTTCCTCTTCCTCTAGGAGCTCAGATTTTTAAGTGCGACTAATTCCCCGGTTGAGATATTATTGTCTTGTAAGTGCTCATTAAAGTACAGAATATGAGAAGCAATTTTGGCAGTTACTTTCTATTAGTCCAGATTGAAGCAAGTTGTTATGAAGTAGCAGGTTTTGTCAGGAAAGGAGCCTTTAACCTTCTTTTGTGTGTTACAGTGATTTGTAGTGGGATACGTTAATATGAATCCTATTTAATTTTGCTCTGATGCATCAGTACTTGTTTTTGGATACTAGATAATGCTAGTAAAGAGGCTTAGTATGGTATATAATCAAAGAGTCATGTAGGCACTCATTTGACATGTTATTTCTGAGACTGCCCAGTGTCCTAAAGAAAATGGCAGGTTATTCACACTAGACTTCTCATTGTTCTAATGAAGTGCTTTATTGTGCTAATGCTGAGATTAAATCCCTGGTATACAGAAAACGTTTCGAGCTCTTGTGCTCAGCAGTGGAAATACATAGAGTAACTAAGGTGCTACCCTGTTTAATTGCATCACCCCACGTTAGATGAATGAGAAAGCAAGCATCTAACAAACCCACTGATGTGTTCTCTCTTGGAGGGGATAGAAATAAAAAACCCAAAATAAAATAAAGTAAAAACCAAACCTCTCTAATATTGCTGCAGATCAAGATCTTTGCTATATATGATTCACACTGTCACAAGTAAGGTCCTTATGCCTCTACCTATGACTACTGTTTTAAGAAGCTGGGTATTCAGAACCTCATTTTAAAAGCAGAGGGGTGTACATCTTTGCTAGTGAGCTCAAAAGCCACTGTGAAATCTCTGGGAATCATTTGTTTTAAAATAATAACTTTAATTAGAGTGACAGATTTGATTTTCTTTGGAATTTAAGTCCTTGTTCAGAGGGTGTAGAATTTCTCACATTTCCCGGGGTGTGGTAAATAACTACCACGCTCATACCAATACAGCATTGCAAAAATCCTCCAGCAAAAAGGTGAGAGAATGAAAGTTTGTCCTTTCCTGTTCTCACCCCTTTCTTTTCCCATCTTTAAAATATGCAGCTATTAACACCTGACTAGGAGCATTATTCATGTGGTAGCGTAAGGCTTCCTTGGTATTGTAGTTAGCTGTGGGACCTGCTCATAGTGCCTTTGTCCATCAGCTCAGTTGTGCAACCACTAAAGGTGGTGGTGCAGTTGGGGACCAGCCTTTCTGTCGAGCAGCATCGCAGTACAGAGCTGTCTGGACCAACCTGTTGCAAGGCTTCCAGCAAAGCTAGATAAACTTGAAAGATTCAAGATCTATTTTGTCTGTCCATCAGTCATAGAATCATAGACTGGTTTGGGTTGGAAGGGACCTTAAAACTCATCCAGCTCCAACCCCTGCCACAGGCAGGGACAGCTTCCACTAGAGCAGGTTGCTCCAAGCCCCTGTGTCCAACCTGACCTTGAACACTGCCAGGGATGGGGCAGCCACAGCTTCTGTGGGCACCCTGTGCCAGCACCTCAGCACCCTCACAGGGAAGAGCTTCTGCCTTAGATCTAACCTGAACTTCACCTGGTTCAGTTTGAACCCATCACCCCTTGTCCTGTCGCTCCAGTCCCTGATGCAGAGTCCCTCTGCAGCATCCTTGTAGCCCCCTTCAGACACTGGAAGCTGCTCTGAGGTCTCCATGCAGCCAAGTCCCTTGGCTGTAGCTTATGTGAGAGTGCTTGTTACAGGAGGGATAGATGTCAGGCATTACACAAATGTGCTGTATTATATTTACCAATATGACAGAGGACCTTACATAGGACTTGTAGAAGTTTAACCAAAATTGGATGGATTTATGTAACCTCTTCATGCAAAAGGGTATTCCTGAGAAGCAGGGTCAGTGCTGAATTCATATCCTAGTTGGAAGGGGTGTTTATACAAGGGCTGTCTTTAATCTGCTGTTCTGTGTTCCTCAGACTACTTATTTCTCCCCTACTAGGACAACCAGCCAGCCCACAGAGTACTCCTGCCAAGGCCTTCACATCAGGCAGCCTGTGCATGTCCTCTCCACAGCCAGCTGCCTGTGCTCCCATTGACTCTGGTGACCTTCCCCTGTCTACAAACACTCCAACAGGCACTCTTAAAACCCAGTCAGCTGCAGCCTGCACCCCAGCCAAGCAGAGGAGAACCAGCCCATGTGCTTCTCCCAGATTCATCCCTTCCTCCAAAATGTCCATTAAACACTGGGTTACAAGGACTCCCTCCTCTTCTCCAGAAGTGGGCAAGAAGGCTTCTTCTCCTAGAAAAGCCCTGGCAGAAGTCACCCAAGGTGTTCTGGAAGCCACTTGCACTCCTAAAGCCCTGCACTCACAGTTTGAAAAGCGTGCCAAGAGAAGGCTTGACTGCAGCAAGGAGGACAACACAGGGCAGAAGTGTCTGCAGGCCTGTAGCTGTGTGACTGAACTGGACCATGCAGCTAAGAAATCCAAGCTGAATCTGTGTCACTTGGCTGCAGACCAAAAAGCTTGTGATGAAGGCTCGCTCAGCCTGGCTGGCTTGGATAACGACCGTGAAGGCTCCAGTCAGAGCCCAAAAGAGCCTTCCTTTCCTGGAAGCTGTGTGAATCAATTGAGCCTTCAAACTGCCCCCCATCTTTTCAGATCTCCTTGTGGGAAAGACAATGAGGTGGTGGATAAAGAGAATAGCTCACCTGAAAGGAAAAACTGGTTGTCTGCTCTGGGGGAGAAGCTACGGACTGGCAGAGCTGGCAGCCAGAACTCATCCAACAGCCCCCCAGCATCTTGCAGTCCCGGTGCCAAGCGACAAGAGGCAGCAGCCACTCCACTGAAAACTGTAAGTAGGATGATGAGTGACAGTGGTCATGAAAGAAGTTGTCCCTAGCTGCCACTCTTCCCCTTGTTTGTTCTCTCCTGCTCAGGCGTTCAAAGAATTATCTGATCCCATTTGGTTATGGACAAAAGGGGTGATTTCTGGCCTAGTAAGTCAGATAAGTTAATGCTGTCATCTACTAACCCTCTCCATGCAGGAACATAATCTTTAGGATGATGGCATCCCCCATTTTAAAGGGACTTAGGGCACAGATTTGCTCAGAGATCCTTGCAATCCCAAGCTGGATGTTCAGAGGATGTAGCCATCACCTCTACTCTGAGAAGCACAACAATGACAGCACCTTTCCTCGCAGATCTACTGTATATGTGTTCATCGCCACATCTGCCTGTTTATGCTACTGGAAAGCCGCTTGCCAGTGGAAGAAAGCTAAATTCTATTCTAGCCCAGGTAGCAAAAGCATTTGTTACCCATGTTAAAACCATGGGGCTAAATAATGCCTTCTGTTCCTTCACCTGAAAACTATGAGAAAACGAAAGAATTGTAAAAGAGTCGTAGGGCAGGATTTGACCTATGTAATCCTGGTTTTGATGTACAAGAACCCTGGCAGTGAGCTCACTCTAGGATCCGAAAGTTAAGCTTATAAAGCAGCTAAAATAGTTGGCATGAGGGCATGGGGGTTTAACATGCAAACTGAGAAATAATTACCTTGTTAAACCAAACTTGGCTCATCTCTGAAACTGGACTCCAAGTCCTGCAGTGCCTTTGAGTCTAATTTCAGTAAATGCTAGGTATAACTTTCAATCATTAAATTCTACTTGTACTCTCAATTGGATATCTGATGCTAGAAGTTGTTGCCATCATTAAGGCTTATTTTGGTATCTCATTTCTTACCTGATTTCACCTCTTACAGCATTTTCATCAGCTATGGAAATGAGCAAGCCACCACTCCCTAAGTTATGCATAGATGTTGAACTCTTCATATAATGGTTGTACCAAGAAATCTTGGTAATAGGAAACCTACAACTACTTGTGCTTTATGCTGTACATGTTTAAACACAACTCAGAAAGATTTGCCCCCAGGAGAGATTACTATGGAATGGTTACCTTTCCTGCCCCATGTGCTCTAGTTCACATTTTGGAATGCTCCTGTGTTGTACTCAAAGCCTGAGGAGGTGCCTGGAATACCAGCAGCATTCATTGATCTGCTACATCTTGGAAATCTGCAGTTCTCATCTGCTGTAGGGAAGCTGAAACTGCAGCCAGAGTGCTTTTCTTATGGCAGGAAGACAACCCTAAGATTCAGCCAGTGTTTCCTGTAGGTAGTAAGCCTCTTAGCTGTGAGACAAACAGATTATAGTAAAGAACCTTTCCTAAACAAACTGGAGCAGTGATGGAGGGGAGACTTTAGGGCTCCTGCAGCATATGAGCTGTTAACCTAGAAATGTTTCTTGTTGGTTTTGTTTGGTTTTTCCTTCTTCCTAGGCTGCAACCACTTCAGTATCCATGCGGAAAATCTGCACATACTTCCACAGAAAGCCACAGAATGACTGAAGCAGCACGCGGCGGTGGCACCTGATGGATGTTGACACTGTGCTATTAAGACCAGATTTAGCAACACCGACAACGATGCACTAGGATTACAGTTTGTTGTCAGACATTCACAAACGTGGGGGTTTGTTCCTCTGTTTTTAAAGCTGTTAACAGTAGAAGTCAGCTGAGTGTGGAAAATCTACACCACACTTACACGTGGTCCATACTGACTTTGGATGATGGATTGTTTTAATAAAGAAAAACAGTATTTTTCACATGGCAACTGTTAGAGTCCAAAGACAGCAACAGCTCTGCTGTGCATGGTTGACAGGCACATATAGCTTGTCAGTTTAAGTTACTAATCTGTCATTGAAACTTCCTCTACTTAAGAATAATGTGTCAATCACTACATCCTCCTGAAAAGCAAGTGTTGGAATGTGTGTAGAGAAACTTTATGGAGGTAGATCTGAATGGCATTTCTAGTTATTCTTCTAGTGCTGCAATGACCACCCACTTCCAGCAGGGAACTTAAGAATGTGTGAAGTAAATATAAAAGACTTTTAAACATCCTGTATCCATCCTATAGTGATTACAGTCTAAGTGGAGACAAGTATAATCAAGTAGGTAATGCCTATACTCCTCTTGCCATCCCCTTTCTTCTCCAGTCTGAAAACTTCTGTATTTACCAGCTTAGCTGGCTCTTGATCCATCAGCACTACAGCTGTTGAGACCTTTTATTTCTCTGAAATAAAATACTGGCAATAAGTTTGATCTATCCCAAATAGGCACCCTGTAACAGCCAGTTGTTCGGTCATCTCTTACAATCCAACCTGTAGCAAAGGCATTAATAACTGCTTGTACATAACTCCATAACACTTTTATAGTACAGAATCTATACAATGATAGCTTCTAAACTGGGGGAAGGGCACTTGACATTTTAGAAAGCACTTGACAGAGTTTACATATTAATATTAAATGCTTTGCTGCTGTAAGTCGTCAGTGAGGCTGATAGAAGGAGGTCACTGAAATGCGATCACTGTCCTGCTGGCTAATGATACTAGCTCCTCAGCCACGCTTTCCCCAGGGTAGCTAGTAGAAGAGCCTCATCTTAGGTTGGAGCATTTACTCCATCTTCTGATATAATAGGTCCTATGAACTTAAAACAAAAAAAACCAACCCAAAACCAAACCGCTGAATCCCAGTAAAGTTTTTATGCTGCTAAAGAATGGAGGTATCTGAAAGGGATGCGATCCAGCTGACTCATGTTTTCCATCTGAGATTTCCACACCTACTTTTACAGTAGCATCAAATAGTACAGAAGTTGAAAAGGATTGGAGAAAAACCTGCTGATTTGTATTTTATGTTGTAGATTCTATTTCACAAGGAAATAAACTAATGAGAGAAGGTGGATTTTGTGAAAGGTCTCTCACAGCTACAAAGCAAAAGTAAATGTGGAGTGTGCTTTTCTGAAAACATAAAAAGTAGTCATCATCATGTCACTTCTTTTACCAGGAGGACTCAGGTACATACAGGAGTGAGAACAACTCTCTCCCTTTCTCTGAGTTACAGGCCATCAGCCCATGAGCTTTGAGGAGATGCCATTAGGAAAGTGGGAAAGGTAATGAACGCTTAAGGCTTTTTTATATAGTTTTTGGTTTTTTAAAAAAGATGGATTTTCAAAAGGTGATTCTCTGTCTAGACCCAGCATCTTGGGCAAAACAGGAGTATAAAAGATCTGTTACTGTAGTTTTAACCTACCGCTGGACATTAAGGTAGATGGAACTAGTAGAAATGTATTCTAAAATAAATAAGTTTTCTAAAATAAGTGGGTTTGGGATTGAATTCTGTCATAATTTTAATAATTAGAGCAATTGTATAGGGTACAACCTGCTTGACTACAGCCAGTTTTCCATGCAGGATACTTCCATGCAGTCTGTAAATAACAGGTTGCAGAATAAGGAGAGTGGACCCTACTGAAGTACATGAGTCATCTGAAATGTCAACAATAGGATTTCACATTCCTCCACTTCTTCCACAATGTTTTCCTCCAAGAATGTGCTGCAACCAGGTATCTCCTACATCTCCTACCTCCTGTATCTTGTAAAAGGCTACCTAGAGTTGATTTACACTAATGGGTTACCACTTGTATGAATAATTTTATGTGGAGATGTGAGATTTTCTCCTTTTAAATAGTATTTGCTTATTGGAACAACTTGTTTTATGGACCACCAGGCATAATTTCTTTCATTTTAAGCTGACATCAACCTTGTTCGGAGCTTAGGAGAATTAACTGAAACATATTCTTCTATATCCAACTGCCTTGACCTTACCATGATCAAATCAAGACTGCAAAAGCATAGAATAGTTGCTGATACAAATCATGGTTTGAGCTAACCTGTCTTTACCTGAGAGACACACTGGACTAAGCATTCGAAGAACTTAGCTCTTGTTTTGAGCCAGCAAGCTATACCTTTGAATTACCTTTCCTTGTAAAGGTTTTATAATCAAATTAAGCCTTTTGAGATACTACTCCCAAACTCTATGTATCTATCTATGTAAATCTCATCTTCTGTATCTTAAAGGTTTTTCCATGATACTGCTTCCTGATGTCTTGTCTTTGTCCTCAGTGTTTACCCTCTAATTACCAAGTGGGATTTGGGAATTACCAAGCCAGTTTATGCTGGTGCTGTTTCCAATAGTTACTACTGCTTTTTAGGAAGTTAAGCAACTCACTGCTCAGCTATGAGCAGTCAACCAGTTTAGTTTAATAGCAGCCTGACAGTGACTTGAGCTAACCTGTCTTAGCACAACTGAAGAGGCACTCCCAGGATCTGTACAGATATATAACCAGCAAGCCTTGGCAAGCATTTCTTCTGGTAACAGCACTGATTTAAGAATCCCTTGGGGAAGCTAACTACAAATTAAACCAAAACTGAATTGCCTCAGTTCCCTGACTGGTTGTACCAAAACCATTGAGGGTGTAGGGACAGCATTGCTACTGAGGGGACTGTTCTGTCAAACTGTCTCCTGATGTGTAGAACTGGTAGCTTCGTGTTCGTCAGGGAGTGCTAAAATCTTCCTTTGGCACTGCTGTTCCTGCAGCCATTGAACGTGGCTGAAATCTCCTGGATAGTCCATCTTAATCATAGAATCGTAGAATCAGAGAACAGTTTGGATTGGAAAGGACCTTAAGGTCATCTAGTTCCAGTCCCCTGCCATGGGCAGGGACACATCACACTAGAGCAGGTTGCCCAAGACTCTGTCCAACCTGGCCTTGAACACTGCCAGGGGTGGAGCATTCACAGCTTCCTTGCACAACCCATTCCAGTGCCTCAGCACCCTCACAGGGCAGAACTTCTTCTTCATATTTAACCTGAACTTCCCCTGTTTAAGTTTAAACCTTTGAGTGTCCACACCACCCTAAGCTGACCTACTGAGATTAAAGAAAACACTGTTGTGGCACTGAAAGCATTCTAGGTGCCATCTGAATATGGTATATATAATTTCTTAACAAGTTTTGTTTAGAAATAGTTGCTTTCCAGCCAGGGATTTGCCAAAAGCATTTCATAGCAAGCTGGAGGTATCACCGTACTTAAGGATTTATGTGTAGGCCTTGCATCCAGAATGCCTCTTAAAGAGGTTCCTCAAGGTCAATATTAAGAGGCTTTCATAGCCAATACTGGTTTGGCAGAAAAAGGGAAACAGTGTTCAGGTCCATTATAAACAAATTTCATCCTTTCCCTCCTGGAGCTGACCTAAACAGTTTCCCACGTGAATGGAAACTACCACCTTCTGTTTCTCTACACAGAGGATCAGAACCCAGTGGTGTGCATTGTTTCCTGTCTCTGATTTGTGTATGGCCCAGTCTACAATAAATAAAATACAATCTGCTGCTATACACTGCCCGTGTGTCATCCTTCACAGAACAGCTTTGACCATAACCAAGTGCTCTCCATCTGCGCTGCACAAAATGCCGAATGCAATGGAAAGCAAGGATGAGGAGAAAGCAACCACGAAGGAGCACACATGTGACTTCTTGTTATATAACTATATATATGTATATCTATATATGTGAATAACTTCAGAAGAAACATTTAAGGTCAATGGTTTTATAGAAATATGGACAATGAAATGAGGACAGTATGAACTCAGAAGGAAAAGGTAAAATTGTAATTAAGGATTACCTTTCATTTTTAAGCCTCAATCTGAACTACATATTTTTTGAATCAGAATAAGAAATTTTCCATCTTAATTTGCACATTATGGAAAAATTACAGGGACTAAAAGTACAACTAGATTACACTGGAAGACCCATTCTAGGCTGATGCAACTAGTCAGAGACTTAAAATCAGAAAGCATTAAGTATATTGAAGTCCAAATACCCCATATACATGGTATTTTTAACTCTGTTTAAGCTACAGCATTTCTTAATGTTGAAGTTGTTCAGCCTTGATTTGAAGGCTTCAAGTGATAACAGGGCAATTATGGTTTTGCATAAATCATCCTAGAGGTGAAATGCTGTGGAAAGATTGACTGACTTACAGTTTCAATTTGTTTAGCTTTGCATTTCACCTGTTAGCTCAGCTTCCTCACTTTCTGGTCTGGGTTAAAGCTATTTCCACTACTACAGATCTTATCTGATATGTAGGAAGCCCAGACATGAGACTGAACCACCTCCTGTTCTCCTTGATGAGCTAAAGAGATTCTACATATAACCCCCAAAATATTTCTCAAGCTTGAATAAAACAGCTAAGGAAGTGCTTCATTCCTTCACATTAAGGTGCCACAGTAGTAGCTCCACTTGTATTAACACAAAGCCTTTCTGTTTCTTTCCGTCAGCTCAGGGACTCAGCTTTCTGATTTACCTCTCCCCTCTTGTCTAAAGAATGGCTGAATGACGATGTAAAGTATCTTCAACCATCTACTTCTGTGCCATGACTCCCTGTTTGCCTCATACTGAGCTCTCACTTCGTACTGTTGTGAGCAAGGCAGAGGAGGAGATGAACAAAAAGCCAAGCAGC